TAACAATGAATTGTATGAAGAAGCTTTCGCCATTTTTAAGAAATTCGATGTTAATACGTCGGCTATCCAAGTTTTAATTGAACAAGTTAACAACTTAGACAGAGCTTACGAATTTGCTGAAAGGTAAAGTAATAAGTTAATATTTAAAGAAACCATTTATCAAATAACTATAAGATAATCAAATAACTAAGATAATTTCTTATAAATTAATTTATTAAAAAATGAATATGTTTTCTAGATGTAATGAACCACCGGTATGGTCGCAATTAGCCAGAGCACAGTTACAACAAGGTCTGGTTAAAGAAGCCATTGATAGCTTTATTAAGGCGGATGATCCGTCAGCATATGTAGATGTAGTAGAAACTGCACATCGAACTTCACATTGGGAAGATTTAGTCCGTTATTTACAAATGGCTCGCAAAAAGACACGTGAATCTTTCATTGAAAGCGAATTGATATATGCGGATGCGAGAATTAACAGACTTGCAGATCTTGAAGAATTTATTTCGCGTCCTAATCATGCCGATATACAAAAGGTTTTAAATTGTTATATACATTGTGAAAATTAAATTATAAAAATTGGATGAGGTATTTACATTAAATTCGTATTATGTGTTTTAGATTGCCGACAGATGCTTTGACGCTAAATTGTATGATGCTGCTAAACTTTTGTACAACAATGTATCGAATTTTGCACGGTTAGCCATTACACTTGTCCATTTGAAAGAATTTCAAGGTGCTGTTGACAGTGCTCGTAAAGCTAATTCGACACGTACTTGGAAGGAAGTCTGTTTTGCTTGTGTAGATAGCGGTGAATTTAGATTAGCACAGATGTGCGGACTACATATAGTTGTACATGCTGACGAATTGGAAGATTTAATCAATTATTATCAAGATCGAGGACACTTCGAGGAATTAATTAATCTGTTGGAAGCTGCGTTAGGACTCGAAAGAGCACACATGGGAATGTTTACTGAATTAGCTATACTTTACAGCAAATATAAGCCCCAGCGAATGAGAGAACATCTTGAACTGTTTTGGTCTCGCGTTAACATACCAAAAGTAAGTTTTCAATTGAATACATACATTTAATTATCGTTATATTCAATATTTCATTGATGAAATGTATAGGTACTTCGAGCAGCGGAACAAGCACATTTATGGGCAGAGCTTGTATTTTTGTATGATAAATACGAGGAATACGATAATGCAGTGCTTGCAATGATGCAACATCCCACAGAAGCATGGCGAGAAGGTCACTTCAAAGATGTAATCACTAAAGTAGCAAACGTTGAACTTTATTACAAAGCGATACAATTTTATGTCGAATATAAGCCCCTACTTTTGAATGATATACTGCTTGTGCTTGCTCCACGCATGGATCATACAAGAGCAGTTGCATATTTCAAAAGAACGGGACATTTACAACTTGTTAAACCGTATCTAAGGTCAGTTCAAACATTAAACAATAAAGCAATTAATGAGGCATTGAATGGCCTACTTATCGACGAAGAAGATTATCAAGGACTTAGAACATCAATTGACGCATTCGACAATTTTGATAACATCGCATTAGCGCAACAATTAGAAAAGCACGAATTAATTGAATTTAGAAGAATTGCGGCATATTTATATAAAGGAAATAACAGGTGGAAACAGTCAGTGGAACTTTGTAAAAAAGATCGACTATTTAGGTAAATAATATTGATTTTTGGAATTTTATTTTTTGAATACATATTACATTATTACAGTTTATTTTAATTTTTGTGTTACTTGTTTTAACAGAGATGCTATGGAATATGCAGCAGAATCTCGAAATCCTGAAGTTGCTCAAGAATTATTAGAATGGTTCTTGGAAAGAGGGTCAAAAGATTGTTTTGCCGCATGTCTATTTCACTGTTATGACTTGCTTCATCCAGATGTTATTTTGGAACTTGCGTGGAGACATCGTATTTTACATTTTGCCATGCCGTACCTTATACAAGTCGCACGAGAATATATTACTAAGGTAACATTGCTTATAATACATTGCTTATAATACTATTGAATGTTACAGCTAACAAGGAAGTAATTTCACATGTGTGTTATAAATTGAAAATGTGAAATAAAATTTATTGACATCATCTATTCTGGGACACACATAAATTTGTATTAATTAGTGATATGAATATAAAATTATTTTTTTGTTGCAGGTCGATAAATTAGAGGAAGCTGAAAGCCGACGCTTAGAAGAAACTGATCATCAAGAACATAAGCCTATGATTATGCGTAAGTATTTTCATATTATACTCATTTTTATAACTGATATATCATACCGTTTTCATAAAAATATTGTTTAAAGCGGAACCACAGTTAATGTTAACGGCAGGACCAGGTATGATGGCACCTGGTTACGCACCTCCAGGTGTTTATGGTGCACCTCCACAAAGTGTATATGCACCAGCTACTGCAGCGTACCAGGGTTATGGTATGTGAAAGCCAATGAGCAACACGTTCAATGACAGAGATCAGCAAAATCTACTTTTCTATAATATATAGGTAGAACAAATTATTTCAATAGTTCACGATTACTATTAATGCTGAAACAATATCATTAAAAAGAAAAGTATTGCCGCAGAATAATTGTAACATATTAAATATAATGAATTCGAGGTAAACTACAAAATGTTTACACGCGAGTTTTTAGATTATGGGTATACATTTATAGACTAATTAATTTACTATTAAAATAATCAAATGATGCATATTGATTATTGTTTATTTAAAAGGTATATATCGTAATGAAAAATATTTACATATTTTAGAAATATATTTGAAATATGGTCTCTGAGAGCAAATACGCAATAGTTAATTTTAATAATTCATATTATGTTAAAACTTTTTTAAATTGAATTTTCTTATTTTAGATTATTTTATGAAGTACCTATGGTATAGTTTCATTGATAAATTAATGTATTGTGTACGTATGTGCCTTTGTTTAAGTATTGAAAAAAGTTTTAGTTATAAGATGACATAAAATGAATGATCCTTAAAAAAATACCTGTTGTAAGTTTCACATTAATAAAGATGTCACGAAATTATGGAGTGCTTCCTTTCTAGTAAAAAAAGTTCGGTCAAAAAATGTATAAATGAGTATTAAAGAAAACAAAATATTTGAGATTTGTGCTCATATCTATTCTGATATGTAATTTATAGTAATAAAGAGGAATCTATTTATCTAGATTCATGAAAAATATTGTTGTCATGGTCAAATGTATAAGCGTCAAAATGTCTAGTAAAATAATTGAAAAAAATGTTGCATATATCAGTACATCAGTATAACAATTGAAAATAAAGCTAGCAAGTCTGTAAACAAAATGTAATCTAGACATTTAGTATCGTAAAACGTGAAATACGTTTGTATGTCTATCAGTGTATAAGTTTGGTATCTATGTGTGTTATTACTGTGGCATGAAAAAATAAAAATTAGCATTTGCCTAAACAGTGAAAAATGTAAAAATAGAACAGTAGTGTTATATACTCTGCTAATAAAAACGTATATTTAGTTTTCTGATATGATCTTATTAATTTGTTGAAAAACACTTTAATAATTTCGTGATATTGATGTATAGATATATGTATTCAAAATTGTTTATGCTGGCTTAAAACATTTTGATCTTATATTTTTGTATCTGTTATATTAAAGTATACAACGTTGGTGAAATTTAAATGTGTTAAATTATATAAATTAATTAACAACTTTGTTTACGTTATCAAAATGTTTAATTTTTAGAAATATAATTTCAAATTCTTTTACACATCAAATTTGATTTATACAAAGTATACATAATATCCATTTGGATGTATTGTTCATTGTATTAATATGTAATGAAGTTATAATGCAAGTATTAATGTAAATTGGGAGATCAGATTCCAATGCATATGTAGAAAATGGCAGAATCGTGTTGTTGACGTTTCTGCTCTTTAAATGATCTACATTGTCTGTATAAAATGCTCTATTGATGAATCAGGATCAGTGTACAAGATATGTCAAGAAAACGATTTTTTTTCTGACGTATCTTACATTCAATGTTCCTAAAAGAGCTAAATTATTGCATAAGATGTTTTGAGTGACATTTTTCTGTCACATATCTTAAATTGAATAAGAGATATATACTTATAAATTGTTCTTATATTTATAAGTATAAAGCGAAAGTTAAAAACTATAGTATGATAATATTCTGGTCCTGAAGCATTTTCAAACATATTTTGAACAATGTTCATCACAGTAATGTTGTGAGTATTACATGTAACTTTCGTTTCGTATTTAATAATTGCAGTCATTTCAACTGCATATATTAAATAAAAATATTAAAATTAGATAATATAAACATGAATCTGTAACATTCCCAATAATCACATCACTTTCATTAAAATTATGTAATAAATAAAAATTGTAGATTAAAAAGTGTATTTAACGCCGTTCTGCAAACTAATAGTAATATAATTGTATCATTGTTTGGATATTGTGCATTAAAATAAAATATTAGTAAATTTGGAATTTCATATATTTAGATTGATCATTAATTATATGAATATATATTATATATGCAGCCAAAATTATGTTTACGATGTTGGAAGTCAGTATAAAATGAAATAATTGTTGCTATTGAAATTATTTCAATAAACAATTCACAGAATTTGAAAATATATCTTATACTAATTTTACATTCCTTTATATTGAAACTATACACATTTTAATCATGGAATTGAAACACTCTATTATTAATGATATTAATACTTTGTATGTCTATCTTTTTAAATAATTACTAATTTTTACTATATTAAAGTACAAAGTTATGTTAATAAATAAAATATAAAGAATCTTCAAAATTTTCTTAAATAAATTTACACTTGATTCAAATAAGGAATACTTTATTATAATTATAAATATACAAAAAATATATATTTTATAAAGTATGTATTTATTAGTTTATAAATATTAGAAAAAGATGAAATTATTGCCTATTTATTTTATAAACTACATATATTATAATTCGTACAAGCGTCCACATTTGAATTTTTTTATAGTTCTCTCTATAGGTCTTATGGAAAGATCCTTACCAAAAAATTCCAGTTTTACTTCATTTAAATAAATATTCATTATAACTACATCCTTAGGTATTGCTGAAAAGAAATCGATGCAAATTTTATAATCCATAAATATATTCAATAATAAGATGCAAAGAATATATTACGTACTTCGTATAATGTTATCTTTTCCACAAATTCTAAAAGTATTTTTAGTATCTTGAATAACTATACCATTCAACCCAACTAAGCTGGGGCATTTTGATGCAAAAACAGAAATTTTGGCACCATGAAAATCTGCTTTGATTAATTGTTGATTAACAATTTCCCAATTTGGGTCAATTGGGTTTTTTGGTACATTAAGAAAAAATTTAGTGCCAAGTATTTGTTGCATATATTTTAACCACAATTGATTTAATGGTAACAAGTCAATATACTTCATGTCATTTTTGCAACCAATTTTACGTAAACCCAGTTGCATTCGTTTTCTACTGCTTAATAGTTTCCCCTTACATCTTTTTTTTTTGTTTAATTTATTTTTGTGTTTAGCAAGTAAAAATGACTACAAAATAAATAATATAATTTATATCACTATGGTAAGAATATATTAAGAATATACATAATTCTAAAATTAAATAGTATAATAATATATATAGTTTTTCATATCATTTGATATTTATTTGTTCAAAACAAATTTACCATACCTTTCTTAATTCACCTGCTATAGAACTGCTATCACTAGGTGGTAAGGTGTTTTGTAAAAAATTTGTAATGTATTGTTCACTATTCTCACATGTTCGAATTTGTCTTGTTATATTTTTAGGTAATATCGAACATATATTTTCTACATATATTAATATAAATTGTTAATAAAATAATAATTCGTGTATTTTGTAATGTTTTTAATGTATTATATTACGAATACGTACGATTAGATTCTGTCATTCTTATTGATAATTTAAAAATCAAATAATTTAAGGTTTATTATACCATATTACTAAATTATTAAATTAATATTAAATTAATAATTTCTCGTCAATGTACTTTATAATCGTCTAAAATAATAATTGTTATAGGTTAATAAAAATTCAAATATATGTTTTACACTTTGGCGTTACAATCGTTATAAACGCGCATGCGCATTACCAGTGATGAGATATTGGATGGGTTTTTGCGCGCATGCGCGAGAAATGCAAGAGCATACGCAGCGTATGTATTTAGTGGCGCAACTAGATGGCTTTATCATATATTTTGCTTACAGTTATTTAGTACCCTTCCTTTCCATCTGCTCCTCAAATATGAAAATATGTATATAATGTAATCTTATCCAACCTATACATTCATATTTCACAACCAAATTATAAACATTTTTGAAAAATAATGAGGGTTGATTAAGGTACCCTATTTTATTGAAACTTGTACTTTACTGACTACGTTTCCATCGAGGGTCCAAATCGGGTCAGAGTCGGGTTAGAGTCGGGTTGGGGTCAGCGCTCGTACGGTGGAAACGCCAAAGGTTTAGTTGAACTCTACCCTACAAAATTTTAGGGTAGCGTTCAGTTGAGGTTCGGTGGAAACGACAAGAGTCGAGTTCGTGTTGCCAACATAACAAATCCAAATTGCATTGTGTATCACGTGCTGTATTAATCGGTGTAGAAGAGGTTACTATTACTTGATCTTGTAATCTGAGAGAAATAATTTTTGTATGTTATTTTGATATTGTAAAATTAATATTGCTCAGCTTTACATGTCAGAATATGGTAGTTGACTTTGTGCAGTTGGTAATGTTCAACCCAACTCCAACCCCAACGTAACTCTGATCCCATGGAAACAGGCAAGGCAACTTAACTCTAACCCGACTCTAACCCGACTCTGACCCGATTTGGACCCTCGATGGAGACGTAGTCACTGAGACTAAAATTGCCGCGCATGCGCGAAAAAACCCGTCCAATATCTCATCACTGCGCATTACCATAGATTATAGCATACGCAGAAAGAATTAGAATAGATGCGGAATACTGTGCGTAAACCCAATTCGTCTATTCAATTATACCAAAGTGTTGGTAAATAAATAGATTAGAATTAATAAAACAAAAATTCGAAAATGATTCTGAAAAGAACTTATAATTTATTAACATCAAGGTAATACCAAATAATTTTTAACTAGTTATTATTATTACTTTTCATTTTAATATTAGGTTGTTTCATAATAAACTTTAATGAATTCTATAACCCACATTCATTTTGTATTACTTCGAATAAATATATTTTACAGATTTTTAAACATTTAAAATAGTTTTCAAATATCATAGAATAACTAACAAATTAAAACTTGTACAAGTTTCAATACAAGTTTAATCAATAAATAACTTGTAAACACTGTTTTCTTTTCAAGGCAAAATCAAGTAAATATTCAGTTTTATAGTATATTTCCAACAACGTACGTGAAACCCATTTTTAAAAAAGAAGAACAAGAAGAGGTACATGTAAGTCCAGAAGGAAATAAATTATCTCGCATACCTATCAGACCAGCATTAACTTCTGATACATGTTCTGAATTTTACGATGAAATTGTTCGGTACATAATTATAAAGTTTAGTTATACAGGTGATTATCTTGCTATTATTAGACTCTAAAGGAAGTCTTGTTAAATGTCAAACATCTGATTGCTTTTTCTTTATATTGACTTAAACCTAGCTGGAGATAGAATATAGTCATCAGCATAATCATCTGTATTTTCATAGCCATCATTAATCCAGAACAATGTAAACCTCTTACAATGCATTAAAGAATAATTGAGAGTATGTTTGGTGGTACTTCCTTTTAAGTCAATTGGTGAAATAATCACTCTATATACAAGAAAAATCATTGAACTTTGTAAATCAATTATTTGTATTTTATCAATATTAGTAAATTTACAAATTATATTATGAGGCAAGGCAAAAAAATGGTAGCAAGAAAAGTATTAGAAACAACTTTTGAAAATATTAAAATATTACAATTAAAAAAGTACTATCAACTACCTCCTGAAGAAAGAGATAGTGTTATATTAGATCCAAAAGCTATTTTACATGAGGCCATAGAGAATTGTTCACCAGTTTTGGAATTAACAAATGTAAGGAGAGGTGGTATTCTTTACAAGGTACAAGAGCAATTTTACTTATGTTTATGAAAATGTTTTGGTATGTCTTGAATATTAATAGTTTAAGATATTTTGCATAGGTTCCTATACCGTTAAATGAACAAAGAGCTAAGTTTCTGTCAATGAATTGGTTAATTCAAACTGCAAATGATAAGCCAGATACAGATAAATTTGTCGATGTATTAGCAAAAGAACTTATTAATGCATCTAATAATGAGGTATACATATATTTTGTCTTTTTTATACATCTTCTAATCCTATTAAGTGAACTAAATAGTATTGATTTGTAAAGAAATTTTGAAATATTTTACAATTCATATTGTAGGGTAAAACTATAAAAAAGAAACACGAATTACACAAGCAATGTGAAGCAAATCGAGCTTTTGCACATTATAGATGGATATAGAGGTACTGTAAACCAGCATATTATTTGTATATAATAGCAGAATTTATATAAATAAATTACACAATTTATAAAATATCACCAACAATATTTGCAAACCGTGTTTCTTCAGTAATCCTTCCATATCGTATGTTTATTTTTAACTTTTGTTTATGCGATATAACATTTAAATTTCTATAGAGAATATAGAAGATATTTAAGGGTGTCTCTGTAAGAGGTACAATATGGTTAATATGAGTTTTTAAATCTATTCTTTTACCCCAATAATTCAAATATGATATTATAACTTCTTGATTGTCTTCCTTGAAATATATAGAACCAATCAAATTATTGCATACATAACAAACAGTGTGACACCAAAAAGTAATTATCAAACCTAGAATATATAGTAAATTATATATGTCATAATTAAAACTATGTGTAAAAAAAGTAATTCTATCAAAACTTACTAAAACATATCAGGTTTATAGTATCTTGACCTGACATGAAACCTGATGCTTGTAATGCTATACTTATTGGGATGCTTGCTCCGGCCAAAATTGTTGTATTACGTTTTAACAGATTTAACATTCGGAAATACCCAATATATGGAAAAGCATAAATTAGTTCATGTTCAGGAAATTTTGTCGATTTACTTATTTGTGATGGTACATTATTTTTTTTTTTACTTGGAACATAACTGTATAGTCTAATTACATTATTAATCTTAATGTATTGACGATTCGTTGATCGCCAGTAACAGCACATCATTTGTAAATACATCTGAAACTTTATAACCTCTTTTATGTATAAATTATTTAGCATTTAATGTTTTATTAAGTCCGCTTTCAAATACACCTTTTTTATGTTTCGCATCTATAATAGTACATAATCCAGTTTAACGTGATAATACCTAAATGTCGCAAATCTACCTCTATGAAATGAAGAGGTTAGTACACATTCAGTTTGTAGGGGACACATTAGTTTCTAATGCGGGCAAATTGAGCCTCTGTGGAGGCCAGACGCCCTCTTCTTGTGAAGTAAAATAGAAACTAAACTAGTTCCTAGTTCCTAGTATCTCGTACACAACGGCACGCGTAGTTTCTATTCTTCCCCACAAGTTCCTCATGTTCCACGGCTGGTTTGGTTTTTATTTTCTTCTAATATATATAAGATGGCGTGTAAGGGCTATTGTCCTTATTTGCCTCATGTTCCACAATTGTGGACTTGTGTGGGTGTTGTAGACTGTAGATATGTCTCCTGATTTATACTACGTGAATAGCACTGTACTGCATTCATTGTACCTTAGGCTTATTATATTATCAATTATCATTTCCTTTTTTTTCTCAAATGATTCATCATTTGTTTATTCTAATCACAGATAATCATCATTCCAATATCATTAATTATTAGAGCACTAAAAATCATATTATTTTTAAACATTGATTATTTAGATATTCGTTATTTATTATCTGTATGTAATGTGGATATTAAAAACATACACGAGATAAGGAATAATAACTTTAATAGCTTTATGGTTAAATAATAATAACTTCTACAATCACTGTATTTGTTTAAAAAAATAAGTTTCTTTGCATATTTTACTTAAAAGAACTAATAAATTTGCCATCTACATATATTCTTCCTTGTATGTTATTAAAATTGTATAATTTGTCTATATATAAGGTATAAAGTTTGACACAGTACATTTTTAAATACAAAAGTCATTGTCATAGACTCTATTTAAAATCTAACATAAACGATTTCTCTTACATATTAGGTAATTATTACCCCCAGTACAGGATATATATTTTACATTACAGGGTATAGTGTATAGACTTTTACAAATATTTATGTACTATCAAGAAAAAATAACATATTTTAAAAAATAATCGTAGAATGTTTTAGTTATTAAAATGTATTATGATCATAGGCATTATATGAAAGGACTATAATCATTTAATTTCTAAAAATATTAAACCACACAATTAGTTTTTTTGATATAAATACATTAAAATTTATAATTTAAATACTAATTTTTCTATAATAATGAAGTCCATTTTGCTTGCAGTCCATTTTGTAACATTTTGATAAATATTCACAGTTTGTGAATACAATTTCCTTTCAGGTACTGAATGTAATTGTTTTCTAAACATATATACTTTCTATTTTTGGAATTAACTAATCATAAAATTTCTCGTTACTAATTTTAATATAAATTTATAATTATAAATTAATACTAGAAATTTACTAGTTGTTAAAAATCAATTCATATAAAAAGTTAGTTTGTTTGTCATACTCTAAAGTTAAATAGAATTTGTAAAATACTTTTATATAAATTTTGTCTAGAAATCGCTACTTTATACAATCTTTGTCATATAGGAAAATCATACTAAAAATATATTTTTATAATTCTTCAATATGAGATGTTAGTAATTTAGGTAATGATTGCACATCTGTTGTCACAAAGTTATCAGGTGAAGCAATTATAGGAAAGACATGATTTAGTATAGCATAGTAATGTAACCCGGCTGCTATAACAACAAAAACATGCCAAATTGCATGCGCACAGGGTATTCGACCATCAGATTTAAAGAACACCAGGCCAAAAATGTAAAAGAATCCTCCCATTTTTAGTTCAGCAATGTCATAGTAGTGAGACTGAAAGAATTAATGTAAGTTTTTAAGGAATTTAGGATTATTGTTACTACACATATGTAATATCAATACATAATATTGTCTTGGACATATAATTATATACTTACAACATTAATAATTGCAATGCTAGGACCAATTCCAATAACTAGGTAAAAAATTGTTTCTAACATTTTATATCGTTCATGGAAAATTTGTTGATAAAGTATACCTAAGACTGCCATTATCCAAACAAGGTAACGCATTGCAAAAAGTAATTCATCATCTGGGAAATGGTCAACATTTAACCAAGGAAAATAGCTAGCAGCAATAAAAATATAAATCATAGCACGATCGCAGCGATGTAATGCATCTTTGAGTTGTCTGTAATAAAACTTAATATGAAGATTTTATTTTATATAAACTACAGTTTTAGTTTCATAAACATAAAATAATAAACTGAAAATGAAGTAATAAGTTCATTTTCTGCTTAAATGAACATAAAAAAGTACCTGTTATTATTGCAATAATGCACACTGTGGAAAAATGTTGATACTGTAAAAACAAGTATTAATGATGTACCATATACATAAGCTGATACTAATTGTGTCCATGTTGTAGAACGCCGGACAAGTTCTAAACCTCCCAGGACAGATGGAACAACCCAAACTCCATGAGTAGCTACATTTGCTACATGTTCTATAGGAGTAGGTACATATGCTTCATTTGTACATGCTCGAGGATTCATCCACTTTACTCTGTAAAAATTGCACAAATTTCTCTAATACATCAATCTTGCTTTTATATATATTCTCATTTATATGTAGCAAATTGAATGTATGGAAAAGTACAAAATTACTACAATATATTATATCAGGTAAAATAAACATACAAAAATGTGTGCACATGTGCACACATTGTGTGCATATGTACAAAAATAAGAAAAAAATAACAAAAAATTCATATGCATATCTAATTATTATACATAAATTTACAATTAGTACTATAACTATAAATAGTACCAATTTTAATTGTACATGAAATTTATACTTTATAAATCCATATAAAATTATATTATACTTCACAATTAATAGTTTGTCGAATTTTAAATAATTAGACAATGTAATAACAATATAATATATATGTATAATAAATTTAAGATCACATTCAATTAAAATTTTAAAGCTTATATTCGAACTTACATAAATGTTAATAACAAATATATACAATACCTACTTGTTAATGTATATTCGGTGATACTATACACATTCCATATGTTCCAATACAGGATAAAAGTCAGAATTCATGTAACTTGGTGATATCTTCCATAGGCAACATTACTCGTTGCAATTATTTTATGGTCCATTTATAAGCATATACTTGCAATACATTCCACTTAATATTCCAGATTAAAAATACCCAAATACATGCAAGTTTTAATTTTACTAGCAAACTAATAAAAATGAAAAATATATACAAAAAAAATTTATTTATGAAATTGACACAAAAAAAATTGCACAGAAATGACCTTTTCTTTGAATTTATTGAATAAAATTAACATATTTACAATTTACAACACAACTTTATTAATTCTGCTACACAACAATTATATACATTCTTAACATTTTTTATGTAGTATCAAAACCTTTTACATTACATAAGGAACTTCTAAGGTTTCATATAAGCGTACAAGATTAATACAATGTCAAATAACATGCTAGTATATATTAGAAACACACATTATTTTTTAATAAATTTTACAGATTAGAATGATAACAAATAAATAGTTTACAACTAAAAGTGTAAACATAGTTCCATGCAAAGATAAAATATTATTAATTAATTTTCTACAAGTGTTGGCATTAATATAAACAGCCACTGTTTTACCAAATGCAGAACTTAAGCAATTTAGTAAACAATCAAATGTCAACAGGTTAGTATTTATTAATTAATATTAGTTATTATATCTTACTCTTTTATACGTTGAAATTGTAAAAGGTTTTTTATTGGTGCTGCAACGAATTGATGAAGACTAAACATATCCATATTTTCCAGGAGTCAGCAAATGTATATCTCGGTTAGATTAATCAGTATGATTATTACAGTATGATTATTCATTAACGTAACGATTACTTTATAACATATTTTACATCATGTTTCACACTGTTAAATTATTTATCAGAAATTATTAATAATTAATAAAATTATTACGAATGATTCAACCACCCATCTTTTACATTACCGCTAGCGTGGTCATAGCACTACTGAAGCACTTTAAACACTATGATTGGGAGGATAATAAAGATACAGGGTATAAATATAACTAATAGATGACAGTTGTAGTTATCAAGTGTTACGAGTGTTCATTCTAAAGATGTATATGTATAAATGTACAAATATTTTACATCTTTCCTATACTTTTTGTTATTATAGTTATGCATCTAAACTTATATATACAATATTTGTAAATTTTTTACTATCTTCCATCTAATATAAACAAATATAAAATAATTCCTTAAATTAATAGTTGAAAAATTATCACGTATAATAAGCATGACAAAGTAGTCTCCCCGCTGAGAGTTACACGGTCCCACTACCAGATGATTTTCTTCCCCACCGTCGACCAACTCCTACCCCTGTAAATCACTTTGCAAGTCACTATACCATATATATCGTGTGACAAATACACATACATACACGCACAAACACCACACACACACACACACACATATATATATATATATATATAAAAGAAGACCTTTGTCATATTGCCATCATTCATATCGTCATTCATCTCCATCTTTAAATTTGGAAGTTTAGAAATTTAGACACTAAAAATTTGAAACCTTTTAAATTTTTAACGTATTCTAATGTCAAAAAGTAATTTTCAATGTACTGCGTAACAAATGAATCACCCTATATAATTCGAAGATGCGTTCAGCGTCGAGAGAAAAATACTAGAAATAAATATGGCGGGGGTTGTTCTTCTATATACAATAGATTGAGAAAATAGTGATGATAGCCGAATGTAGCTTGCGAGTCATTTCGTCATGTATTATACCTACCAAAAAAAAATTGTTTGTAAAAAATGATATAAAACATATATCAACACTTCAAGCCTATCTTTTCCATTAAGTTGCCATGACAACAAAGATGACAAGAAATAAAATTTGATGTTTCAGTTTCATCGTTCCTTGAATTCAGGAAACAACTGTCAGCTGTTCAATATGTGGAACGATGGTACAATCAAGCAGTATACTGCTTTGTATAGTCACTTGTAGAAGTCATTCTACATCGAGTTCGACATCTGTTCACAAATCTTGTATTAGCGTGCGCGTGCGTGTATTTGTATTAACGTACGTGCAAGAAAGAAGAGAAACAGATAAAGAGAGGCAATAAAAACAAAGATAGAAAAGGATATAAAAAGAAATTAAGAAAGAAGTGGATAAAGTGTTCTTACGCGCACCGTCCGTGCGATTTATGCAAAATCTTGTGCGTAACGTGGATGTATTGACGCAAGGACTTAAATACAGTATATCAGGACTAATGAACCTCGCAAATCAGACTACTGATCCTCAAAGTGGTGTTTTCTTTGTTAATTTCAATCAGGATTGCACGTAAGTGTCGCACTCTTGACTATTAAACTGAGGACATCGTCCTTTGTTCCCTAACCTTGTTTCTCTTCATTAACAATACAATTACTTAAAGAAAAAAGAAGTTATACGTATGTTACGTGTATGTACAAATTTTGTTTAATCATATATAGTAACTCACTATACTTTCCTTTTACGCATTGATGCATACACTGTATTATTTTTCCATAATATTTTCGTTGTTTATATGACTAGTTTTTTTATGTATTAATAATATGAAAATGATTCAAATTCACTCTGTGATATATTAGAAAAGTTTTATACATTTAAACTTAATACTTTGTTATGTTTATAATTTGTGTACTGTCCTTTTGTCTATGTTTAACATTTTATGTTACCTTAAAATAAAGTATTGCTGTTACCCTTCTAATTTCTAGTACTTTACCTGTTGAAGAATCATTTTATGTATTTTATGAATCACTGGTAAATTTATAGCAATTACTTGAATATTTGCTTCCTTATTTGAATATATGTACAAACAAAGTTTAAAACATTCAGCATACATATATGTTATATAGTGATAAATTAATTGTTTATTGCAGATCTTTGGCAGTAGGATCAAAAGCAGGATACAAATTATTTTCTTTAAATTCTATTGATCATCTTGAGACAATATATGAAAATGGTAATGGGTATTACAATATTTTTTTAAATAGAAATTAAACTTTTACATCTACATTTGTAAATCATTTTTTGTTATGTACTGAGAATCAGTTCATTTGAAAATTATTTAGAGTATCCTATTTTTCTGGAAAATGTTAGTATTCTGTAAGTCAAGATAACAAGAAAAAATCAAATATACACACGTTAAATCACTGGAAGTATTATTATAGAGTTATAACAACAAAGTAATATATCAATGAGTATTAGGTACATTACAACAAAGATATATTATTATGAGATAAATTATGAATAGATCAGGAATACTTGCATCTAATAGTTTAAAAAGTTTAAATATATTACTCTTTGAAGTTAACTTTGATTTTTATACCTTGAAGTTTTATACCTTAGTAGCAACTCATTCATTAGTTTCATTAGTTATACCTCTTTAATAATGTTGTTTAATATATGTTTATATGACATTTGTTTCTTATTTTGAGTTACAGAATATACTGCAACATTTGACTGCAAAAAATAAAAGTATCCTGTATTTGTATATTTATTATTTTATCATTATTATACTTTATTATATCTTGTATTTTAAAAATCAATGTTTCTATTATATATAATTATATAATCTGTAGATACTGAGGACATATGCATTGTCGAACGACTATTCAGCAGTAGTCTTGTTGCTGTGGTCAGCTTATCATCACCTCGTAAACTCAAAGTTTGCCACTTTAGAAAAGGAACTGAAATTTGCAATTATAGTTACTCAAATACCATTTTGGCTGTGAAGCTTAATAGAGCAGTAAGTTTATTTTATTTTATTGTAATAATAATAAAAAGAATAAAGTAAAAATTTGTTTATTTAAATATGAACTATATAAATTTTTTATAATAAGTGTAATGATACAGAAATTACAAAATAATATAAATTTGCAGAGATTAGTTGTCTGCTTGGAAGAATCATTATACATTCATAATATTAAGGACATGAAAGTCCTACATACAATTCGTGATACTCCACCCAATTTAGCAGGCTTGTGTACACTATCAATAAATAGTGATAATTGCTATTTAGCATATCCAGGATCAAATACAATTGGAGAAGTTCAAATATTTGATGCAATAAATCTCGTGAGTATTAACAGATATACAGGGTGTTATCTGTAACGCTACTCACAATTTTTCTCCCACTTGCAGCCACCTTACGAAAAAATGTTTAGGACAATATTAACAGGGTATGAAGTGCACAATAGATATTAGTAAAGCAAATTTTTAAAACAGTTTGTTCTCTTGGCAAAGTCAAGGTCACCTTGGGTTTTTTAAATAGGAACATACATTTTTTTTTATTCATAGCTTTAAAGGACATCGAGACGAATTCAAAACATATTACATGATATTTTTACTAACATATTACTCGATTTACAGAAGTGGAAATGTGAAGTAAAAGACCGGAATATTACGCGATGGAAGACGGCATACATTTTGAACATGTAATTAAAGTGTATTTTTCTTACATTCTAGTCGCGTGTTTACATTCAGTAATCTCTTTGGAACCAAATAATGGTTACACTACCAAAGTCAAAAGCTAAGTACTTAACATTTCCACTTCT